GGAACGAACATTTACAGCTCATAGCGTTAAGTGTATAATTGATCATGGACCGCTGAAGATTTGCAATTGAACCGTGGAGTTTGTAGGTTTCTGTTGGTAGGGGACGAAGAATGGAGGCGACGGAGCCACGTTGTTCTACTGCACAGTAGAATCAGTGATCGCTGAAGTGGCCATCGATTACATTCGGTGGGGATCAAGTTACAGTACAAGTATTGTGATGAGTACTACAGTACTATCAAGCTTACTTACTGTACAGTACTGTTGGGATGGACGATGCATCGACAACTCGAAGGCAACGGCCACCATTGGACCAATACATTTGGGAATTAGCCTCTCGCTATGACACCACCTTCACACCATCCAAAGCTGCACGTTGTCAAGGGGATACTGTATTCGTTGCCATCAAACTGCAAATTGCTGTTGAAATGTCATGGATTGAGGGGGGCATGACTATGTAGTGTTCGTCCCAACCACAGTACAGTAACGAGTTTTGCCTCGACTGTCAGTTTGATCGGTTGCTGCAATGTACCCCCAGCCAGTAAGGTGCTGTCAAGTGCGAGAGAATATGGGGAGGGGGCTCCATCGCCAATATGGTATTAGAAAGGGCGAGACCAGAAACGCGTCGAGAGCCATACATATGGCAGCCGTGTCCAATGTGGCCTCCAATGTCGCCACAGCTGCGAAATGAAGGGCTTATTAGCATGGAAGTGACGACGACAATTGCGCTTGATTGCCGTCGTTGATATCAATCATGTCACATTCAAATTCAAATTTTCGCATCTTTTGACTTCAGCGGACCAAAACCTATCACGTTATACAGTACACCATGTTTAAAATGAAGGTCTCACCATGCGTACTGTATCATCGTGTTCGAGCGAAGGATCGCAACAACTACCAGTACTAAGCTTACCACATCCCCAGGAAGCCATGCACCGTTCTAATGACTAGCACGTCGAGAGTTCGGCTTCCATTGGTATTTCATTGCCAACATATATCAAGCCGGTCATCAATGTGGACTGCATTAACTCGTGCTAAAGTCTTACTACACGACAAGCAAAACTAAAACTGTACTGGAGTACATAATTACGACTTTTACCGAACAAACTTCCTTCGCTTGAGCACTGGGGCCTCCTCAACCACAACTTCCCAAGGCTCAACGTTTGCGTCTTCGTTCGACGCTAGCCTTGACTTGCGAATGGCAATGCCTTCAAAGCAACACATCGCCACTTGCTTCCGACTATACCCTGCATGCTGCAGCAACAGCATGCGCTCCACGTGGTCATACCGCCGCACGCGTCTAGGTCTGGTGATGAGGACTTGGGAGTAAATGTCATGGCACTCTAGTGTGGTATGTGTCTTGGCGAGCCCAAGGGGCGGGCCGTCGTCGCTTGGCACGGCGCTTCCCCCGCAGTCGACGTCAAAGAAGTAGGTCGTGGCCGTGGTGAACGTGATGCGTTTCGAGTGTTTCGTGGCGGACGTGGCGAGGGGTGGCAGGAACTCTGCCGTCTTCCACGGGAGGAACATTGGGGCCGGGACGTGCCACGTGAGGGCCGTTGTTGTCATGTAATAAACCTCGTGTGTTCTCGGTTATGCGACTGGGTGTGATGTCTAGGTAACCATCTGGGGTGGGCAGATACGCTGACACCACAGCCCTATCCCTATTTGGTATGAAATGGGTAACGTTAACTTGTTTTGCAAGCGTGTTAGCTCACACTGTGGGGACGGAGTTCGCCGCATTGTGCTGTGATGGCTCAACTGGTGCACCTGTTAATACCTACCTCGTTGAGGTATAGAGCCACTGAAATACTCGGGGCTCCACGGGTGTGTTGGAGGACCCTGTTTCCACCAATGTACAGTTAATACTCCGGAGTACATACTGTACTGTACTGTACTGTACCCAGCGCGAGATTTTTGCATGCTACGAACCAATCCACCGTCTCCATCTCGACAGCCAGCCAGCCATCGTCGTCGAACCTGACTTGATGCAAATTGCACACGCCTGAAATCCGCATCGATCGTCAAATGCTGAGGGGTTATCTCCATCTTGATGGATAAGTACCGGTATAGTATGTACAGTGTATGTACTACCTACCATAGCAAGCCATACAGTACTGTCGATGAAAACTCCACTTCGAAGTATTGAAGTAAAAATTTAGCGACTCAGTGCCGTCGATCGCTGTGGACTTCAAGGGAGGCTTGTTTCTTCATGCCAGCCACGGTTATTGAGACGTGAGCGCAACAGCATTGACACCTTGTCGCAGCGTTCGGCTCTGTGAAATATGTACTCCAAGTCAGTTCAACACACACCATGCCCAGGGAAAATTCCATGCTCCCAAATCCTTCCGCATTTAACCATATTGCATTACTTGAGATTTTGGACGCCTTAAGACTTCCATTTGTCTCCCGCCTCTCAACATTGATGGCCTTTACGATTACTAGTAGCGACGTATTAAGCAGCACCAAGGTTTGCTCCAATCGCTGTAACATCCGAGCATAGCGCTAGTACTGTAAATTATTTCATGGATCAGATCATCCCATCTTTTGCTTGTGAGCTACTACCGGTAGTAGTGTACAGCATGCTCCTTACTGTAGCGTCCATTCGAGTTCTCTAAAATGCTTGTACCACCTATATATACGTATATACCTCAAGCTGACACAAACTGAATCTCCACTTAACGTTACACAAGGTACTTTTAACTGGTTTCTACTTTCTCCGTTTGGGCACACCTGGTAGGGCCACTGTATCCTCGTAACCAAGTCGGCGCTTCTTTATAGGCTCAATTTCTGCGTCTTCGTTCGACGCTAGCCTTGACTTGCGAATGGCAATGCCTTCAAAGCAACACATCGCCACTTGCTTCCGACTGTACCCTGCATGCTGCAGCAACAGCATGCGCTCCACGTGGTCATACCGTCGCACGCGTCTAGGTCTAGCCATGGGGACTTGGGAGTAAATGTCATGGCACTCTAGTGTGGTGTGTGTCTTGGCGAGCCCAAGGGGTGGGCCGTCGTCGCTTGGCACGGCGCTTCCCCCGCAGTCGACGTCAAAGAAGTAGGTCGTGGCCGTGGTGAACGTGATGCGTTTCGAGTGTTTCGTGGCGGACGTGGCGAGGGGCGGCAGGAACTCTGCCGTCTTCCATGGGAGGAACATTGGGGCCGGGATGTGCCACCTGAGAGTTGCGGTGGTCATGCTTTCAAGTGTAATGTTGGCTCGCACTTCAGTGATGATCTCGGAAGCAGAATATGTACGTGTGTTGTCCTAGAGTTCCACTGTAACTTTTATTTGCATAAATGGGCGGGGTGTGTGCAACGCCTTAGTATGCGACTGACAATGACTGTACAATTCCCTCATTAAAACAGTTCCACTGTTGTTTTGACCCGAAATACTGTTTCAAAGTGATTTTTAAGGAACTTTGTATGCTCAGACCACCTCACCTCTTACTAGGGGTTGAGTGCATCTCAGTGGTTAGCTATTGCTAACCACTAGCGATGTAGTTAACCCCAGAGATTTAGCATCGTTTGTACTCCCGGGGTAGGACGGAGTCCCAGGTTACAGGGCTACTGGTTAAAAGGTGTATTCGGATGTGATAATTCCCTCATGGAAACAGTATTTCGGGTCAAAACAACAGTGGAACTGTTATAATGAGGGAATTATTCAATGACTTACGTGTGATTTCAAACACACCAGTCACGACCCTCCACACCTGCCAACCTGACTGGAGGAGTGTCCCATCGATAGCGGCCATTGGCCATTGGGCCATCGGTACATGGACGTTAGATTCATCCGTTGTCTATGTGCGACATCACACATTTCCAATTGAACGACTACTTCAGTGGTACAACTATTACTGTCGTCTAGCGAATGATGTAACGTTACTTAATACTATTAATAGTATAGTACAGTCCCCCTCATAGCTCATTCATGGTCAATCATGCGACAGCATCCCACTCGATGTTTTAATCGCCATCGGTAGTCCGTCTACCCGTGTTCATGCGAATCTCAACAGTACTTGCTCTGCCCTCCCACGACAACCTTGTCCCCTCGTCCTTGCGTTCGTTCTTAAACACACAAGTGCATTACTAGTACAGTACTGTAGTAGCTATTAATACCAAAATGCGTTACAACTTGCACCGTATTCTCTGCCCCACCTTGCCTCGTAGTGGTGGTGTGTCCTTTTTAGTTGTGGCATGGCAAGCGTCAAAATGTGCACCCGTTGTTGTCTTGCCAAGCACTGACAGTGAACGTGAAAAGGGATTCACCTTTTGACGCTTCTTGCCTTGCCAAGCGCTGAATCCCTAAACATCGCCATGCCCTTCTGACTGACCCGTTTAAGTACAGTTACCTGGTACTTCCTCCATTCTGCAATACTGGAGACATTGGTTTTGGCCATATTTTTATCTTATTGTTTGTATTCTCGGCATGAAGGAAAAACTGTATTTTTATTCATAAACTTGACTTTACGACAAGAGCAAACATGATATGCTGCAAGTCAGGTCGTCATGGACTCGCCAATTGTGCAGAGGTGATCAATATTGGACGTATTGATCACTCCCTCAATATCACAAGCGGACAACACACTAGATAGGTTATCTGCCCTACGTTCGAAATCCTTCCGGGCATTCATTGCCTCGACAAATTTGACCAAGTCTGGATCACATAAGACAGGGGCAACTGGACCAAGCCTTGCAGTCTTGTCCTTGTGCGAGTGCGGCAATTTGAACTAGTTGTCGCCGCCCATCTTCAATGACTCACCCATAACCCTCTGAAGGGTCAAGAATGTCTTGTCCAGAACGCGCCAATCGAGGTCATCAAAAGCTCTGTGCACAGCAGCAACTAGGTCGTCAATACTGGTAACAACTTCACGGTGCTGCAAGGCCCTGGATCGAGTTGAAGAACCCAAGGTCCAAAACGTTGAAGTCGGGGCTCATCGCCGGCTGTGCCACGAGTCGAATCGACCAGCCGTCCGAACAACCCGCCATCGTCACGTCAGCGTCGTCGACTTCAACATGCGGTCGCGCATTGTCTTGTTGGTTGTAGATTGGTTCACTGCGTCGACCTGGCCAAACCTCCTTGATCGTCGGGATCACATGCTTTAGCAGATACTCCCGGTATACCGGCTTGGTAACAGTCACCGGCGTCGTCACGGCCGTTCCTCGGTCGCGGTTCTTGCTCTTCCTTTGCGCTGGCACTACCGACACGAAGGGCCACATGCCGATTTTGCCGTCCCACATCGTTCGCGGGTTGTAGTCGTAGCGCGGCCTGGCCACGGCTGTCAAAAACATGACCTTGATGATGTGGCGTTTTGAGGAACACTTGCGGATCGGTACGGCTTCGTCATGCCATTGATAATACCGGCGGTTCACCAGCGTGAGGTAAAACCACTTTTCATCGATGTGTACACGGTCGTGCATGTCGTCCCACCGCATTGGGCCACTGCCTGTCGAGCGAACAAAGGACCGAACGAAGTCCACACGGTCGGCTTTGTGTTTGTCCGTCACCATCGGCTTGAGTCGACTGGTCCGCCGTTGAAGCTTTCTTGTCTGAAGGACGCGCCATAGCGTTGTCGGTGGGATGCCACTGGATGCTGCCAACGAAGCGAACGTCTTGCGCAGATGCGGCGGTACACTCTTGACGGCAGCCTCGACCTCGTGCATGGTGCGCTTTGGCCACCGCCCCGTACGACTCTTCCTCTTCAATGCCACGTCAGCTCGTCCACCCTGGGACCGAGTTTCTTGTCCCCGCTTCCAAACTTTGGAGAGGGTCTGCCTTGAGATGCCATACTTCAGAAGGAGCTCGGAGGCCTTGCCCCTTGCCAGACGACCGCTTTGTTTGTTCTCCAGAAGGTCGTGGTACAAACTCCAACGTTGGTCGTCGGGAAGGTCGTGGTTGGTCGTGGCGCGTGGCATGGTGACACGTCGACAACTTGTCCCACAGAAATTTTTCGTTCTAGCTATATCTACGCAACGCGACGAGTCGTTTGCGCTTGATTTGAGCTCGATTGGATGCGAAATGACTGAGCTGCGTACATTTAAAGATTGGCTGTCATTTGTCGGGACCATTGATCCTTGGTTGTGAAGCGCCAAGAAGCAATAAAAAAAATCTGAAAATAGCCTCGTACTTGTCGTTTCATTGGCTATCTTTGGTCCAGATTTCGCTCGATTTTGGAGGATTTTGCCACAGATATTCATTTGAGAGTGATATGTCTCCAGTATTGCGGAATGGAGGAAGTACATCAATGAACCTTGCAAGCTTCACAAGGTCTACCGGTAGTCTTGAAGACTTGCAGGAAACGGCACGACATTCAAAATGTCTACCGTATACCTTATGGATCAGTATCCATGATTTTGCCTTATCGCGTTGTACCCAAATTGCTGTATGGTGTCAATAAAGTACGATTTGGTGCCTTGGAAGGCTGTACCCAAGTCGCTGTATATTGGTCAAAACTGTCCAATTATCTCGTTCTAGCCAATTAAACAAGTCGAAGTAGTAGAAGTAACCAATCCGAACGCATTGGAAAGAAATCAGACCACCTTATTGAGTTGTATCCATTTCGATCAGATTTTACTGACATTTTCGGGGATACAGATCCAAAAGGTATACGGTAGAGTATTGTACTTCTACCGGTAGGATGTAGATTCCGTCGTTATCCGGACGGAAACCTCTTGCGGAGGCCGAATTAAGTGTACTTAAATTGCACACTGAGGTCTCTTTCTACGAATTACAGTACTCCATCCGTCGACATTGGGGAGGGCGTACATATCTCGTCATTATATTTGTAGGGAAATTCAAATTTGTGTGCACCCCGCCCCAGAGCGGATTCAATAGTTCTGATTGGACTACGAGAAAGAGCGTGCCAAGATCTCTAACATGATGTACCTGCACTGCGAGAAATCGTACCATAACGTAACCAATTTTAAAGCTAAAAAAATCCATACCTATATCCAAATGAAACCATCATTCTTAGACATACATTCATTCACATGTCACTCAAAATGGGAACTGGAAGGCGGGACCTGACCAACGACGAGCGCGAAGCCATCCTTCGTGAAACGATTCTTAAGAGCAGTGGCAGCTAGTGCAGAAACTGCGAGAATTGTTATAGGGCATATGCCAAGCCTGGCCGAGAGCCCATCGCTAAGTACAAAATACTTCCAACAATGTCGGAGGTAGTGGCACACTGCGCTTGAGATAAAGTTGTGGTGCACTCAAAAGGAGTGGCGACGGGCTTTGACGTAGATGTGTTGAAGCGATCAAGTACTGTGGAAAACAGTAATGAGACTGGTGAATGAACAGAATTCGGTTGGAACGTTCACTGACGATTTCCCAGCCGAGAATATCTCGAACAAGACCTAAGGCCTTCATCTGGAAGCGTAGTGATAGATACTCCTTGAGAGCGGCAGCAAGTGCCTTGGTAGGAGTATTGATCAAAAGATTGTCAGCATAGAGACTAAAAATGGTTAAACCATCATTTCTGGCTTTGAGAAAGACGCAGTGGTCTTTGTAAAGTCGGACAAAGCCCAAGGAAGGCATGAAGGTGACAAAAGTTCAGTACCATAGGTGAAGGAAGGGCTTGTTTGAGCCCATAATAGCTCTTTTGAAGTAGGCAGACATAGTCGCGTCGAGAAGCAGGGTCGATTAGGGAGCCAGGAGACTGTTCCATGCGAATAACGCAGTCCATTTTGCCGTCGAGAAAGGCAGTTTTGACGTCCATTTGTTCGCATTCCAAGTCCATTTGTTCGCATTCCAAATCATGGATAGCCACTAAGACCAATAGAAAGCGTAGGACTTCAAGTCGAATAACAGGAGCAAACATGTCCGTGTAGTCGATATCTTTTTGTTGCATGATCCCTTTGGCAACAAGTTGGGCCTTGTAAGTGCCATCGGCTTTGAGTCGAAAGAACCTGCGACACGGTAGAACCGTCTCGTCATGACAACGTTTGACGAGCACATAAGTGCGCGAGCACATAAGGGCCGAGAAGGCTGACGGGATGCAGCGAAAGGTTTTGATGTGACCCAACAATGGGTGTCGTTTAAAACGACTAGTAGGGTGAAACACCTGTGTTGGAAGCCGATGGGGAGATGTTGATAAGCCACGAGGCATAGTCGAGGGCAAGAGCCCAAAGAAACTTGGGCAGAGCCCCTTCAATGAGCATAGCTCGCATTTTTTGCACGACAATACCAATACGGCATTCGGCTACGGCGTTTTGCTGGGGTGAGTAGTCGTTGGAGAAAGCCATCCGAGTGTTATACTTGGGCTTGATGATCCGCCCGAGTTTCTCGTACTCTTTGGCGTCGTCGCTTAGGAGGGTGCCGATGTCCATGGGTGGCAAGTGGCGCAGCTCGCCAACATCATGTTTAAAAATGGACATCGCGTCCGTTCGAAATAATTCGTAGGTCTCATAGAGATATTTGCGAAAGTGCATGGGGTAGGTCCACATAAAGCGGGGGTAATCGTCGATAAAAACGACGAAGTAGGCAGCGCCACCCGCCGATAGAATCGGGCTTGGGCCTCAAACATCGGAGTGGGCGAGGACAAGGTAGGAGGCCGTACGGAAGACCGTAGTTGAGTCGAAAGGACTGCGCTTGGACTTGGCGTAAGCACAAGTCTCACATAATTGACCACGGAGGTGCTTGGCCTTGAAGAGCATTAGCTCGGGGTTTGTCTTTGTCACCAGGATGGCCGAGACGGCGGTGCCATAGGCGCGCAAGACTAGTTGCAGTGAGTTTGGAGTCAGCCGCGAGACTGGTTAGGCAGTCGGTTGGAACAGTAGGAGTATGCGAACCAAGCATATCTTGGGCGACACTCATGGAGACAGAGCTTGGAGTGTTTGCGGAAGCAGAGGCGCCGGAGTCGACAATCCAGTGTTCTCGCAGAGCAGGAAAGTCGTTGGGACGATAAGTCACCAACATAGGTAGCGGCGCGTCACTGGGGTTGCTTTCACAGTAGCGAAGGTCCGCATGGAGGCGAAAACGCCTTATCCCAAATGGGGGATGGGGACGTAATAATACGCCGAAGGTGGTCCAAACGTCAGCAACGACGATAGACTGGTTGGCGGCGCGCGTAGTGGCGGCGCAGTTCGTCATGACTTCCCATAATCCATGTCACGAATGTAGGGGTCAAACATCGCACACAGAGTGTAGTAGTTCCAAACCTTCTTGTGGTAGTCAGCGGACGATATCGCCCACGGATCCAGAGGATTAAAGGAGGTCAGGGACAAAGACATGGCAGCGTTTGACGATGTCAATGAGTTCCACGGATAGAGTGTTGATACAACAATATTGTTGATAGAATTCATCAAAACTTGCGAGTATGCATATAGCTGGTAATGACGTTGGGGTTGTTTTCCATGGGATTATATTCGAAACGAGCCTTGATGTGCTCAAAGAGCTATTAAGACCACGTGGTGGACTGCTAGAGGCGGCGAAAGTTCGTGGAGATGGCGGATACCAAGAAGATGTACGCTGCAGAGCGTTGATTCGCAAGCTTCTTGGTTGTCTCGCGGATAATAACCTCGCGTTGAATGATTGTCGTTTGCGGCTTGATTTCCTCGAGACGCGCATCAAGATCGGTCTCAGACAGAGTCGGATCCACGACATAGGAGTTGCAGTGTTCGACTTGATCAAGCTCGAGGTACATCTTGTTGATGTTGAGATCATCGATGCGGTTGCCCGGTTGGACATGGTTCGGCGTAGAGTAGAACTCAGCGAGATAGCGGGACGACGCTTGGGACAAGAAGTCCATTTACCATAACTGTAGGCCAGAGATCGGAGGTCGTCAAGTGGGGTGCCCGCGAAGGGCTGCACAGAGGAAGTTAGGAGGATCATAACCTGTCATATATCACTGACGACGAGGAACTCTTGTGTGGTCGAGAACAAAACCCAAAGTGATCATTAACGGACTGCTTAGATGACCTATGATTGAGCCAAACCAGTCCTGCTTTATTCAGAAATAGCAGACCGGATAATCCCGGATGACCGGATATTATCCATAAGTGACCGAACCTCGATGAAAAAGGCCAAAGGGCATTTTTCATTCGCCCCATAAGGCACGACTTTTCGTCGCCCTTCTCACCGTGACAGTTCTCTGAGCGCTGTCGATTCACGTGTCAGTGACATGATGTTTTCTCTCTAGCGTCAAAGATTGCTCACCCAATCGTGGCCTAGAATTAGGAAAATGAGCATTGGTTTTCACTCATCAGTAGTGTTCACCTCTTGCACGCTTTCTGCCTATAGAGCTACTGTACTACTACTCTATCCACCCCACTCCAAAATTTCCAAAAAATTCGAATCGACTTGACAATAAGGTTACTGTAGCTGGAAACGGCACGGCGCGCCGAGGCAATGGGAAACAAGAATTGTCACATTTGGTTCAAGGACGTGTGAACAAATCAATTTTTTATGAATGTTCGATTCTGATTGGTGGAAATTGTATATTTTGATTCAGGCGACATTTCTAGACTTTTTACACTTGTTAACTGAAATATTCGATATCGCAGATTTTAGGAATCAAAGACCCGCCAGCCTCGCAAAATCCACGTTAACATCGTATAAACCGTACATTCATGTTGCTATTGCCTTCGTGTTTACAATTACAGCGGCTGAGCACCCTAAAGCTCGCATAGACGGTTGAATTTCACTCGCAAGGGAAAGTACTATAGTACTATATGTGTGGAGCTGTGTACAGTATCGTGAGCTCAAACACGAATTTGAATGGGGAGTACTATATGTGTGGAGCTGTGTACAGTATCGTGAGCTCAAACACGAATTTGAATGGGGAGCTTGTATCACGTTACAGGTACATGAGTGAAGGATAGCTACCACTTGTTTCACTCGTCTCGCTACCGCGAACAGCGTATTTGCAAACAAATATGTGGAGGTAAGAGAACACCAGTTCGTTTTCCTCCGATGTATCTTTATTATTCTATCCATCTGATGCGACATGCTCATACTTCAAACGAGGGACATTTGAGCCAAAAAGCAAATGTAACCATTCTTAGTAGCTTGTGCTCCATAATTTCACTTTGTTGTTCTCCATCATTTCACTTTTGGTTTTCCCATCTTGTGCTCGAGTGATTTGTCCTACGTCGGACACTCTGCGCCCCTAGTGCTACCTCTCCTACCCTCCGTACTCCCGCCCATTTCCTACATCGTGCCACACCGTACTTCTTGACTGACTGCTGAGGCGATGACTTCCCCTTCCTCACCACCACCAGCGGACGTGCCGATTCCTGTACTGTTTGGCAATGCCGAGTACTCGATGCCTCAGGTCTCACCGAACGGCAGGCAAATCGCATACCTCTCGGTGGATGCGACCACCGCCGTGATGAACCTGTTTGTGCACGATGTGGGTACTCCGTCGTCGGCAGTGCAAGTGACATTTGAAGCCGTGCGGCCCATTCGGGTCTATCGATGGGCCGAAACCAGCGCCCACCTCCTGTATGTCCAGGACCTGAATGGAAACGAGACATTCCACCTGTACGTGGTGGACCTGGCCACAATGACCACCGTGAACCGCACGCCATTTCCCAACGTGAAGGTGCAAGCGTCGTTCTGTTCGATTTCCTGCAAGATCAACCGCCTCACGAGCTCCCGCTGTCCGCAGGAAGTCGTGATTGGTCTGAACCAGCGTAACCCGGCCGTGTTTGATGTGTTCCGGCTGCACATCGTCACAGGCGAGCTCACGTTGTTGGCGTCAAACCCAGGGAGCGTCGATGCGTGGGTGGTGGACTACGACCTCCAAGTACGGGCACGCATTCAACACGACGACTCGGAAGTGTGGACCAAGTCGTTGTGGGTGTGCAACGGCGACACCTGGCGCGTCCTGGCGTCATGGGGCCTGGACGACCAAGTGGAGCTGCTGCAGCTGACGGCGGACGGCTCGGGGCTGTACATCACGTCGACGCTGGCCCACACCGCTGACGCCGCCGACTCCTCCCCCCAAGCGGCCAACCCCAAGCGTCTTGGCCGGTTGCTGCTCTTGTCCATCGACGAGTCGGCGGCCGCGGTCACCATCGCGTCGCATGCCGAAGGCGACGTCGCGCACGTGGAATTCCACCCTGTGACAGGACTCCCCGACTTCGCCACCGTCGAGAGCTTTGGCCACGCCAAGATTGTCCTGCAGCCCGCCATGAAGTCGGATCTAGCGGTTCTCGCGGCGGTCGCCCCGGGCACCATCTCGATCGTCAGTCGCTCCGCCGACGACAACAAATGGACAGCCAGCATCGCGTCGGACCACCACTCGTTGCGGTATTACCTGTATGACCGAACGGCCCAGGCAGTGACGTTGCTTGGGTTGGAACGGCCGTTGCTCGAACAGTATACGTTTGCACCCATGCAACCTGTGCGTGTACCGTGCTCGGATGGCGAATCCATGGTATCCCATCTCCATCTTGCTTCACATGAAAAAAGACTCTGAAAATACTTTTGTAGGTGGCGTACTTGACTTTACCTCTTGGCAATGCAGTAGCGGCCAAGTTGCCGATGGTTCTGAACGTCCACGGGGGGCCGTGGGGTCAGGATGTATGGGGCTTTAACCGTGTGCATCAATGGTACACATGCACACATGTTGTATATTTCGCTATATGTTAAATCTTTTTTAGAAAAGTTATATTCTCCTAGTATAAGTATTTTTATGAAAATATATTGTTCTGTTTAAATATATAGAAAATATATTGTTCTATTCTACATATATATATTATTAAACATGGAATCGTATTAGTATATATCCTACCATTTTATTGTGACGCTGTATGTTTAGGTTTGCCAATCGTGGATATGCTGTGATAAGTGTCAACTTCCGCGGGTCGGAAGGGTATGGTATGCGATGGCTCAACTTGGGCAACCAGGAATGGGGCCGCCGGATGCAGCAGGACCTCACCGACACGGTGCACTGGGCCATCGGCTCTGGCTACGTGGATGCATCTCGTGTCGGCATCTACGGGGGGTCATACGGTGGCTACGCGGTGTTAGCTGGCTTGGCCTTCACGCCAGACCTGTTTGCATGTGGAGTGGACATCGTGGGGCCGTCCAACATCAAGACGCTGCTGGACTCGACGCCGCCAGACTGGGCGATCATGAAGAAGGAGTTCGCCGTTCGCATCGGAGACGTCTCAGACGCTGCGTTTAACCGCCGGATCTCGCCGCTGTTTCACGTGGCAGCGATGAAGTCTCCGGTGCTGATCGGGCAGGGAGCCAACGACCCCCGCGTGGTGAAGTCGGAGAGCGACCAAGTGGCCCGGGAGCTGTTCCAAGCCAGGCACGATGTCACGTACATCGTGTACCCTGACGAAGGCCACGGGTTCTGCCGCCCGCCCAACAAAATTGACTTTTGCTACCGCACCGAACGATTCCTGGCCAACCATTTGGGCGGACGAGTTGGGCCCGTGGACGATGGGGTAGCCACCAAGAACCACACGGCCATCGTCGTGGATCTCGCGACGTTGTAGCTAGCTCCACATTGTTAGAACGAATTTGTCGAACTGCCGAGCCATCGATCTCGTACAATCGATGGCACTTGTGATGGGGGGGTGATGGGGGGGGGTGTTCTGTGGTCGTCATCGCCTCTACCAGTTCCGGCGATCTGAACTATGGATGTACTGGGCATTGATGTACAAAGCTACTTTGAAGTAAATCTCTAATAAAATGAATTGTTGTTTGGAGAGTAAGTACTGTACTACTAACCGAACTTGCACAGCATCATGGCTACGATGTCCCCTGAGTGTGCGTGCGGGTTCGGGTGGGCACCTTGATATTGTATGTACAACTACGTACGTGCGTACCAGATATTGTACGCAAAAATTCCATGGGCGGTTTTGGGGTTTCTTTATATCGCCCCAATCCGAATGTCCGCGAAATGACCCCAATGACAGAAAGTGGGATTTCCCTCACAATTACTCTATTATATCGCAGTTTCATGAGCTGAGTCGGACGATGTATTGCAGCATTAGGGCATCCCCACCGGTGCGACTGTATAATCAGCCTGTAAAATACCGATTTTTGTCAACCCCAGCGGTAAAACTGTAAAATATCCGAATAACGTTTTTATCCGGAAATGAACGCCTGGCGCGGACGTTTGTGCGAAGGCATGATGGCGTGGGAGGACGACGACGATGACATGGATCAAGCTTGGGAGATTCTTGGCTTTCATCAGTCTTCTGCGCGCCCTAAAGGCTCTACTGCCAACCGCCAGCCAGCCAAACCTAAAGTCGCCCGGTGGGGTTGTCAAAACTGTAAATAATCCGGATAGAACTGTATAATAGCGTTTACAGTCGCACCCGTGGGAATGTTTCTTAACACCTGAGCGCGTAGGCCTCGTAAGCGAGCCACTCCGTATCCCCAGCACACATGCACACCGACTGTACACACAGACATCTCAAGTACATCAACTGGACGCCCGCGCTACCGCAACGTACGACTACTACACCTCCTCGTACTGCCCAGCAGTGGTGGAAAACTGAGTTCGATGTCCATTTTTTGCTCAAATCTTCGAAATTCTAACCAATCAAATCATCGCGGCTGTTGGTCCAGGGCCTAATAGGCCTCTGGACCAATTACACAGTTTTTGCTCAAATAGTGCAATTAGACCTCTTGTCAATAGTAGACCTCTTGTTCAGTGACGAAGTTTCAAGTCTGGAATCACACATCGAGATATTTCGCATTTTGTGCCTCAACTGACGATATATATACGATAAACTTATTTACTGACTCTTTGTCTGAAAGATTGACAACTACAGCAGTGATCAAGAAACCTCGTAATATACTCATCCACTTGTCAAACATGAAGTTACTGCTGAAATATGTAAATATAGAGGTATATTTCCATCACCCATTTGATGGACTTGTACTGGATTTGAAGTCGTCGCTCACTGGTCAACAATACTGCCTGTCGCAGGAGTCAGCGATCAAAATATGACCATGTTGCATAGTCCACGAAACCGACGTTTTGGCAATGATACGCCCCAAATCAACACACTGCGTCCGTACAATCACAGTTTGCCATCAAGATGTACACTACTACTACTGCTAACTTACGACTGTCTATCCGTGCTATGCACGCTCAAACGCTGTGGTGGCAATATAACTTATCCCATTGGCCAGTCGGGTTAGGGTTCTACATATCTGCCAGCTGGTTGCACTCATTACCGAATCGGCCACGAAGAGATAAGGAAACATGACAACAACGGCCCTCACGTGGCACGTCCCGGCCCCAATGTTCCTCCCATGGAAGACGGCAGAGTTCCTGCCACCCCTCGCCACGTCGGCCACGAAACAATCGAAACGCATCACGTTCACCACGGCCACGACCTACTTCTTTGACGTCGACTGCGGGGGAAGCGCCGTGCCAAGCGACGACGGCCCACCCCTTGGGCTCGCCAAGACACACACCACACTAGAGTGCCATGACATTTACTCCCAAGTCCCCATGGCCAGACCTAGACACGTACGATGGTATGACCACGTGGAGCGCATGCTGTTGCTGCAGCATGCAGGGTACAGTCGAAAGCAAGTGGCGATGTGTTGCTTTGAAGGCATTGCCATTCGCAAGTCAAGGCTAGC